CCAATTAAAATTTCTCTCAGCATATACTTTTTCAGTCATGCTATAGAAGGATAGACCAATGTTTTTGTTGCAGCTATAAGACTATCATATAAGACAATGTCATTATCTAAGCAATAGAAAGAAAGCAGAATACCAGGAGAATTAAAACAAATTTACACTGAGAGTATATTTCCTGTAGAGGGAAAACTTGCAGCGTAACACCTGCACATGCAGTTCTGCAGCTTCCCTTACCACTACTGGCATCTGTAAGAGAGAACCAAGTTCAATCCGAGACCAAAAAAAACCAGGAGGAGGGCGGAAGAAGACTTCTGGATTCCTCAAGGGGAACCAAGTGTAGCAAAGAAACCTCTAAACAGCCTAAAAGAATCTCCCTCAATAGCTTAACTTATAGATGCCTCCTGCATCTTTAATTTATGTACAATCAATCACTTTCACCTCAGGTGCCCACGTCTCCCTGATGTCCCCAGAGCTTGCTCTGCTAAAGCAGAACATGGTACAATAAAAGCCAGTCATCTAGTTTGATTTGGTGAACTGAGAGGTATAAGGCTGCGTTGGTTTCAAGTATTCAATCCTATATCCTATATCCTATCCTATATGGTCACCAGAACAAAAATATAGGATTGTTCATTTTAATTTACCTCCACAGAGAGTTTGAAATAGCAAGTACCCCATGTTTAGGCAGCTGTGTCCCATTCTAGGTGATACGCAAAACAGTATGCAAGCACTATCTTGTTCCTTGATATGCAAGATGGGGTGGAGTTTTTTGTATTAGGAATAATCAAATTTTAAGTTCCAGGCTTTTTAATCATGTTTGTTACACAGAAATTAGTACAAAGCTATTTTATTTTGGGACACTATGTTAAAATGCAAAGGTGTTGATACATTTTTTAATACTGGATTCCGTTACTGGAAACAGTATTGTTGTTCTTCAATAATTATTTGAATTAAGGCTAAACTGAGTAACTGCTAAAGCCCGGGCTGAGACCTGCTTCCCATAACCTTAAAACACACTCTTTCCTCATAAATCACGATGTGTAGCTTCTGATGAAACTGTCTAAAAATATTTTTGAGTAAGTAAAGATCCTTCCACTTGTATATCTCCTTTTATTTGAAGGACAGTGGAATAGATTGTTAATAGAATCATTAAGGTTGGAAAAGACCCTTAAGATCATCGAGTCCAACCGT